GGATTTTGAGGTGGTGACAGTTGTGGGGCTGCGACTCGCACCATGAGCTCGTGGGGCTCTGGCAGGGAGAGTCCTCGGGGAACGCTGCTTCGGAGCTGAGTCTCGCAAGCTGTCACTTCAGGACACCTTGTGGGATCTGCAGTTGGTTTTGCACTGAATTACCGAGCCCTGGTGCATGATGATTTAGGCTCAGTGCTCACGCAACCTTCCCGTTTCCAAATATCCTAAAGGTGGAGGATGCTCCTTTCTATTGGATGGGTCCTTCCTTTCTATTGGAAGGATGCTCCTTTCTATTGGAGCATCCTTCGCCATGAGAAACGCCACCAGAGCTGACCGTAGGAAAGACTTGGTGGCTTCAGCACCTTCACACCACGAGCTCTGGGTGTGCAGGGAATTTGCTGCATGAGGATGAGCATCCGCGGCAGGGCACTTCCCACCCAGGCCAGGCCAGGAGTGGGTGTGGAAACTGCTCAGAGAAATGCTGAGCTGCCAGCGGAGGGGTTTGTGCCAGCTCTTCGTCCCCGTGATCTTTGCCCGGTGAGGACAAACGTGAGCTGATCTCCAACAAGTCAGAATGGGGGATAGATGCTGATCCTCGAGTTTTGGGAGGAGATGCTGGCCACTCGAGCTGAAACACCTTCTTGGGGTGGTCCTGGCACAACGTTGCTCAGAGAATGGTTTGTGGGGTTACCTCCTCCTTTGCCCAAAAGTCCCCAAAACCCCAAACCTCCCTCCCTGGGCAGTTCCAGCTTTGTAAAGCTTTGATGACCAGAGCTCATGGATCTGGCTGGATTTTTCTGTGACAGTTTGGCTGACGCCAGCGCAGCCTCAGGTGCATTAAATGGCTTTTATGTTCAAAAGGCAAATATTTCTAATTATTACTAATCAAGGCTGATGAAACACGGTTATTGGCTGGGGTTTTCACTGTGACTCCTCTCTCCCACTGGCAGCCACGCTGGGAGCGCTGGAGTTCAGCCTCCTCTACGACCAGGAGAACAGCTCCCTGCACTGCACCCTCATCAAGGCCAAAGTAAGTGATCCCCCCACCTCATTTTTATTTTTAATTTTTTTTAATCTCCTTTCATTCACTGATTTTTATGTCTGTCTGGCTCCTGGCTGCCCCGGTGCGATGGGATGGGAGCTGCTCCCAACTGGGAAAGTCCGTGGGGTTGTTCCTCGACTGGGTCTGTGGGGCTTTTTCCTTAAGTGGGTCTGATTTTTTAGCAAAAAATGAGGCTTTTGGCTTGCTTAAAGGCATTTTCTCTTTACTGAGTTGCTTTGTGGGTGGCTTTTTCCCTGGCTGGGCTTAAGGAGGATTCAGGCACCGTGCTTTCGTTCTTTTCTTTGAGGGCTTAAAACCAATGGATTCCAACGGCCTGGCAGATCCCTACGTCAAACTGCACCTCTTGCCTGGAGCCAGCAAGGTGAGGCTTTGCTGGGTTTGGGTGTGTTTTGGGCTGGAGGATGGAGCAGAGGTTGCTTGAAGCCCCCTGAGATCCTTCCCTTGCGTCAGACCCTACGATTTCTCTGCGCAGCCGCTCGCTGCTGCTGTTTTTCCCCACGAGGTATCTCTGAGAAGCGAGGACGCTTGCAGATGCTCTCCTGTACTCAGGGAACAGCTCGTCCTGCAGACAGGGATCTCCTTAGGGATGGAGGGGAGCTCCGGAGGAGGAGATGCCCTTAACATCTGACACAAAATCCAATTATTACCCGAGTTCGAGCGATCTGTTTGCTTTGAAGCCGCAGTGTGTTCTTGTTAGAGAGAGCTGCGAAGAAGTAACTGTTGAGTAAGCCCTGACTTCCCCTCTGTATTAGAGGAAAATCTCACTCCCCAGCCCAGCTGAGCTGATCTCAGTGGGGAAACCTTTGAGGAAGGGGTTGCCACTGCTGACCCAGTGCCCAAGGGGTGCTGAAGCCTGACTCAGGGGCTGCCGAGCTCTTTCCTGCAGCAGACTTCTGGTCGGATGAATTACATGTAAAAACAAGGGGGAAAAATTATAATAAAACCATTGGATTGATATTTATGGGTTTACTTTGCATGCGGGGACTCTGGTTTTGTGTAGGAGCTTCGATGCTGGTTCAGGGGTGCAAGCGATGCCCAGTTTTGGTTTTGTGGGGGTTTTTTTTTTTTTTTGATGCTATAGTCCAACAAGCTGAGGACAAAGACGCTGCGCAACACCCGCAACCCCGTGTGGAACGAGACCCTGGTGTACCATGGCATCACGGATGAGGACATGCAAAGGAAAACCCTCAGGCAAGCACTGGAGCGGTGCGGTGGGACAGGGACCGGGAGTCTCCTCTCCTTGGGAGGGCATCGACGGTGCAGGTGTCGATGCGGCACCTGGAGATGCAGTTGGTCAAAATCAACGTGCTTCACAGGGAGACACTGATTTTGATAGTCCTTTGGAAAACAGAAGGAAAGGCATTTTGACTCTGTCATTTAATGCTAAATTATTGGCATTAATATTATTTTCATCAGCACAGAGACTTGGGTATCGCGTACCTACGTGGGATTTCACAGTGTCCCAGCAAAACATTTAGATGTCTCTAGAAATTTTTAGCATTTCCTCCCTACTGAAATTTTCAACCCTTTGGTTTCTTGCCCCGTGGCAGACCTCATACTAAAAAATAGCGATGTTTTGGTTTTTTTTAATTTTTTTTCGGACAAAACAGAAGTTTTGTTTTCTGACTGCTTTTGGTCAGAGGAGAGCCAGATGAATGGTGGCTTTGGTGGTGCTTTTGCTTTGTCCACCCTGGAGCAGAGTCCTTGCAGGTTTTGTGCTCCAGAGCCAGGTACTAGTTGATGTTCACCTTCCCTGTCGCCTTCAGGATCTCCGTGTGCGATGAAGACAAATTTGGCCACAATGAGTTCATTGGAGAAACTAGAGTTTCCTTGAAAAAACTCAAAGCCAATCAGAAAAAGAACTTCAACATCTGCTTGGAGAGAGTAATACCAGTGAGTTTCTCTGAAATTTCTTTCCGAATGACGTGGGAGGGAGCTCAGGGAGAACTCTGGGCTGGAACCAGCCAAGAGCTGTAGGTGCCTGACTTCACCGGCACCTTTAGTTTTTGGATTCCCACCCATGTGGAGTGTGACATGTCAAGGCCAGGAGATGGTGGGAATCCAGGGAAAGTGGCTCTGGGGATGTCCCCAGTGGCCACCGATCTGCTGGCGCTGCCAGCCTACGCTGACGTGCGTCACTGCGGAGGAGAGGGCAGGTCGCTCCTTCCAGTGCTATGGGCGAGGTGCTGAGCCTGCTGAGGTGGAGGTTGATGGAGCAAATGAACGTAGCTGAGCCTCCTTCCCCTCCCGAGGCCAGCAAAAGAGCTGGGCTGGGCTCCCGGGGGTGTTTTTGCTGTGGGCTGGTGTCTCTTGCAGCTCCAGTCACTCATGGCAGTTTCTCTTTTTCCCTTCTCCATCCAAGATGAAGCGTGCGGGAACAACCGGCTCATCCCGTGGGATGGCACTGTATGAAGAGGAGGTAAGAGTCCTTGGAGGACAGCATGCTCCATGCACGTTTCACCCATCATCTCTCATGTATGAACACCCTTTTTTGTTTTTCCTGCCCCCCCTCACGAGGATAAAGGCTCCCTTGCATATCCTTCTGCCCTTTCCTCAGCAGTTAACCACCTCTCTTGCTCAGCCCCCGGCATCCCCACCTTTGGTTGCTTCCTCTTGCAGGTAGATCGTGGTGGGGACGTGGAGGAGCGTGGGAAGATCCTAGTGTCCCTCATGTACAGCACCCAGCAGGGCGGCCTGATCGTGGGCATCGTGCGCTGCGTGCACTTGGCAGCCATGGACGCCAATGGATACTCGGACCCGTTCGTGAAACTGTGAGTGTCGTGGAGCCACTGAGGGTCCTCGCACAGCAGCTGATGCTCTGAGAGCCCCTTCCAAAACCACTGGAGAGGAGGGGAGAGCGTTTCCCCAAAAGCACCTGGAGACCTCACGCAGGAGCGAGCCACCTGCCGAGCGAGGTGGTGACACGAGGGTCATCTGTGCAAGGTGGTGGCGCCCCTGCCACGGCTGACACTGACCCAGCCCTCGGGTCCATCCCCTCCCTGTAGGTTTCCAGGCCAAAGAGCTCCTCGTCCCTGGCTTTGGACCCTTCATGCCCGCAGGATGGGGAGGGCTCCATGCCCTGGGGGTCTCCCCAAGCGACAGCTCAGCTGTCGGTGCTCTCCCATGTCGGGTGGCTCCTGCAAGCAGGGGGGAATAAGAGATTGTCTTAACCTGAACCTCACAAACCCACACGGAGAGGACCCTGCAGCTGCTGCTGTTGTGGTTTTCGTTGCTTATTTTCTCTTTGCCTTCAAGAAAAAAACCTGTAATCTCCCTAAAAGCGATTCAGTAACTCTTGTGTTGAACATTTTGCACATCTTTTTGTGCAGCTGAGTGCACCCCAGTAGTTTTCCTTCTCAGTCTCTCTCTTTCTGTTTTTTTTTTTAATATATATTTTCTGTTCCCACAAGCATAAGATGGTAGCTTTCCATTTTTAAATCAATTTCCAACACAGATCTAATTAATGCCAACTCTACATTTAGTGCTGAGACTTGCCGCCAGGCTAAGTCCAAGCCCCTAATTTTTCCCTCAGTTCTGTAGGTGAACTTACATCGGCTGAGTATACTAGTATTAAACATTAATGAGCTATTTATATCTATTTTTTTTTTCATATCTCTCCCAATCCCTGTGGACATTCACACATTCTGGGCTGGGTTTTCCAGTGTCCAGGCTCATGCAGTTGCCCTCATCTGCCCGGCTGCTTGTTTCCCATGTCCCCCGACCGTTGCAGCTCAGCAAGTTCCTCTGCATTCCCTTCAGAATTTCACTCATTTTACATTTATTTTAGATTATTTTGGAAGGTGGGTAGGTAAACTGGTAACGTGTTTCTTTGCCTTATATAAATACCTTTGGTTGCTTATTTATTTTCTAGCCCCCAAACCTGTTTTTGTTTTTTTTTTTAGCTGCTAAGCTCACGCTGTTCTTGCACTTGAGTTTTGAGCTGTTTTCTATTGCCCCCAGTTGGCTGAAACCTGACATGGGAAAAAAGGCCAAGCACAAGACGCAGATTAAGAAGAAAACGTTGAATCCTGAGTTCAATGAGGTGAGGATGGATGTAATTTTTTTATATTATTAAATCAGCTTCGATAATTACTGTGCTGTGCAGAGGAGGTAGAAGCAGAACTCCACCGGCTTTGGTTCCTCGCTTGGGCTCTTTTTCTCCCTTCTGCACCCAGGAATATTTAAGGAAGGACTTTTGCCACTCTTCAGTGCCAGGCAGCCCCAAACACCCCAAAACCTCCCTGGCCGTACCGAGAGATCACTTGTGATTCACTTCTCTGGTTGTGTTGTTGTGGGACGCTTGGTGCAACATGGGTGTTTTCCTTCCTGCAGGAGTTCTTCTACGACATAAAACACAGCGACCTGGCCAAGAAGTCACTGGACATTTCCGTCTGGGATTATGACATCGGCAAATCGAACGATTACATCGGTGAGCTGCGAGGCTGGGATTCTAGTGCTTGCTCTGCGCGGCGGATGCGTAGGTCTCGCCCGCCTTGTGAGGAACCTCGGGCTGAGCTGTGAGGTTGGACCGTGCAGGCTGGTATCAAACACAGCACTCCCGCTGTTCTGGTCTGCTCTCTGTGCAGCTCTGCTTGTTTCCATGAGATTTTTAAATCCGGGAGGCAGAGAGAAATGCTGCAAACGTGGGCTCTGGAACATCAGCATCATCAGAATACGGTCTCTTTTCTCCTCCCTTTCTTCCAGGCGGCTGCCAGCTGGGCATTACGGCGAAGGGGGAGCGCTTGAAACACTGGTACGAGTGCTTGAAGAACAAGGACAAGAAGATCGAACGCTGGCACACCCTCCAAAACGAGAACCACGTGGCCAGCGATTAAGGGGAGCTGCTGCCCCAACCTGCCCACACGGTCCATCCTCGGCCGAGCCCCTCTAGATCCCCAGTGTCCGTCTTCCAGCACAGTCATGCCTTGCTACACACCTCGGGTCCATCCTGCCTCCTCTAAGCATCCTCTGTGCCCTGTCCTCACCTCCACCTGAAAACTAATGCAGATCTTTTATATTCACTTCCTTTTTTTTTTTTTTCTTCTTTTTTTTTGGGGTGTGTGTGGTCGAGTTATCCTGCTGTGTACTTTTGTCAAGCAATAGTTGCCCTCTGACTGTTCCTCTTTCTCACTAGTCTCACAAGCTCTGTGATAACATTCCCATTGTGTGCGTGTGTGTGATGCTCTGTGCTCCTCCAGCCTCCTGTGGCGCGTCCCGTCCTCGCTGGCTCTGTCTCCCAGCAGGATACGTGGCCACCAGCCTGACTGTCCTCTCCTTGGGAGGTGGGAGTTGAGCATCAGCTCCATTCTGCTTGTGTGATATCGATACCTCAGCTGCAATAACGAAAAAGCTGTCTGGCTTTGGTGTGGGTCGTAGCCTGGTACCTGTGTTGTCGTGATTTCGGCTAAAGCCTGTGTCACTGGTGTAATTCCCCTGCTTGAGCTTTAGTTTTGATCTGGTACACTTGAGCAATATCGTGGCACAATCCTTTGCTGAGAAGATTCACCAGTAGTACGAGAATAAGAAACAGGGAGACGCTCTGAGCTCGCAGGGAAGGAGATTTTTTTTGGGGGGG